TGGTTGACTCAATTCCACCATCTACCACCACCATCATCAATGTGTGTGCATCAACCACACTCCTCTCCTTGTGATGAAATTGGTGAATTTTAAAAAAAAATTAATTTTCTTTTTCAAAAAAAAAATAATGATGAATCAAGATTACCATCATTATGGTGGCATGCTGGATAACAAGGCTCACATCACCATCCTTGCTCTCACCAATGAATATTGCAAATTTAAACTCTCCAATGTTGATACAAGCATAGCCAATGCTCTCCGTCGTGTAATGATTGCTGAAGTTCCCACCCTAGCGATCGATCTTGTCGAATTTGAAAACAATACAAGTGTTCTTCATGATGAATTTATTGCTCATCGTCTCGGATTAATTCCTCTCAACAGCAAGAACGTTAATAGTTTTACCTTTACAAGTGATTGTACATGTAATGGACATTGCGAAAAGTGTACCGTCGAATTAGTGTTGGATGTAACCTGTACAGAGGCTCATCGTGAAGTAACAAGTAATGATTTAAAGTTGAAAGATAAAGACAGATATGATGGTGCTCCAAGTACGACTCTTTCAGGAGATCAACAATCTGAAGAACAAAATGGAATTACAATTGTGAAATTAAAGAGAGGACAAGAAATCAAGTTGAAGGCTATCGCTAAGAAAGGTGTCGGAAAGGCTCATGCCAAGTGGTCTCCTGTGGCTGTTGCTACCTATTATATCGTTCCTGATATCAAGATTAAAGGACATATGAACACTCCATTGGGACCTACTGGTGTTGATTATCAAAGACCTCACTATGAAGTTGCTGCCGCTGGACAAGCCATTTCTTCTTATTGTTTCACAGAAAATTGTTATACAGAAGAAGAAAGAAAACAAACGAGGGAACTTGTTAAGAGATTTACAGAGTCATGTCCAACTAAGGTTTATTCCGTGACGCCCGACGATAGAATTGTCATTGATCTTGATAAGTGTACTTATTGTATGGAATGTAAAGAATTTGCTAGTGAAGAATCTCTAGGACGTGATTTTGTCACAATCAAGGAAAAGGAAATGGGAGGAGGAAAACGAGAATTTATTTTTACAGTCGAATCGACTGGATCTCTTCCACCAGAACAAATTGTCATGATGGGCTTTGACACTTTGGTATCAAAATTAGCCAAAGTAAGTCAAGAACTTCGTAAGCTTGATTCTAGTTTTGTTCATTAAAAGAGTTCTTTTAATCATTGTTGTAGGATTGGGTACAATGAAGAAGGTGATTTGAAGTGATGGTTGTCTTGAGGTCACTCCAAAAATGTTACCATTTCACAAATGATTGTAATAGAAGTGTATTCAATGAATTTTTACAATGGTTTTTCATTATTGAGATTGATTGACAAAGTGTTCCAAGGTCTTTTTGCAATCAATTTCATCCTTGTTGGGAGACGTGAAAACAACACCTAGTTTTGTGAAAAATTCTTCTCGTTCTTTCTGATTTTTGATGGAAAGACCAAGAGAGTGTTCAACAAAATCTCTACTCAATGTGACAGGTGAATGAGCCTTACACAATGCCACCATTGCTCTCTTTCTAATTGCATCTGCGAACATGTCAATCATTGACTTACCACTCTTAGGAGCTTTGTTATAAAGATTGTTAAATAATTTAAAAAAGTTAAAAACAGAATATGACGAATAAACTTCCAATCCAAACTTGACATATTCATGAGACTTGAAATTTGATTTGGTGTCCGATAAAGCAATTCTCAACACCTTGGTGAGCTCAGAAGTTGAATCATTAAGAGTTAAATACATAATATTGTACATGAGAAATTCTTCTCTGTTTCCTTTTAACCCCTTACTATATAAATCCTTTAGTCTCGTTTGACACTGATTGAATTCACTGATGTCCTTATTCTTAATTGCAAGTCTTGCATGAGTTTCATAAACAAGTACTGTAAATTCATTTTCAATGCCTTGGACTGTTAAATCTTGTCGAATTGCTTTCATTTGCTCACACAGATAATCATCATAGGTAACCTCTCCTCTTTCATATTTTGAAACAACAAAAGGTAAAGATTTTTGTAAAATATGAAATGGTCTAAAGTCTTCTGGTTTAAGTTCTGATGATGTCCGTAAGTACTGTTTTTCTAATTCCTCCTTGGTTCCTACAAAACCAGATTTTGCATGCAAAGTAGAAGACACTACTTTCATCTTTTTATGAGGTGAAGGTATTGCATGCTTATTCATAGCAGCTTTCTTCTTTTTAATTTTATCCAATTTTCTAAAAAGAGCCTCTAAACTCTCTCGGTTTAAATTATTTGCAGCATTGATTGAAGAAGAAGTGTTTGATGGAGATTTTTTTTGAAGCAAAAATGAAAAAGGCTTTGATAGTGCGTTGTGATTAATAGTAACTGCTGCGGATGATGAAGGCTTGGTAGCTTGTAAAAACATGGCGGTACCACCAATGTTACTAGTGAATGATGATGTTATTGCTTTTTTATCGCTACTACTCGGAGCAACATCATTCATTTCTTCTTGTGTTCGTTTCTTTGTAATTTTCGGAATTTTGGGTAATGTGTCTAGCATTGTTGATGATGTAGATGATTCTTTCAGAGCATTTGAGGTTGTATTCCAACTCGATGGAAGACTGTATGAGTCGAAGAAGAGCGTTATGAATATTACAATATATAGGCAATTAATTATTATTTTGCTATTCACCATAACACTTACTCTGGCAATGGGATTCTCTCCCAATCCGTGCTCAAAAGAGTATCATTTCCCACATGTTTTTTGATCATTGATGATAAATATTGTTCGACAAATTTCTTATCTCTATCGTTTAAACACTTCATAAATAACTGCTCACAGAAATTAAAAAGATCTTTTGGGATAAGACTGCTATTAGAAAGTTCTTCAATACCTAGAGATTGAATAAATTGTTGTACAAGAAGGGTTGATGTTTGCTTTGATTTTGTACTACCAATATTACTTGTTGGGGTTGTAATAATTATTTTGCTTGAAGGAGTGCTTGAAGTAGCAGTGGTGGTTGTACTACCATTACTACCACTAGAAGGTGTATTGCCACTTGCAATCACCACCGTTGATGATGGAGTCAAGAAAGAAAGAGAAGAGGAGGAGGAAGTTTTTGATTTGAAAGGTTTTCTGGAGGATCATTAATACCGTTCGGAGATGAGTGGTTGTGTGATGCGTCAACGAAATACTTACTTTGCTTTTGTCGTGGTGGACATTTTTTATTTTTGTTGAACAAAAGAGTTTCCAAACACGCATGACGAAACAAAATCTCTTGTTGATTGGTTCATTCATTAAATTAGAAATTCTATGTCACACACTCGATGAAAGATTCAATATATCCAATAACAATTCATAAAAAAATTAATTGTTTCTTCGACCACCCCTGTTGTCTAATTTTGAATCATTTCCAATGAATCCGGCAAGATATCCTCTCACAGAAATATTTCAAATATTCGTAGGTGTTGTTTGTGAAACGTTGTGAATGAATCGGAGGTATATATATCTCTCTGTGATGATGACTATTCTTATCAAAAAATTGAACATTTTTCATTCCAATCATTATCAACTTATTGCATGTGACTGGTCATTCCATGATGATTCATGAATCGGAATTGGTGTCTTCATTCTGCTCCATTCGTTTTGATTCACCTACACTTTTACATTCTGATTTTCTTCCTCAATATAATAATTCTGTTCTCCTCACCTTTTCTTCCTCAATATCATTCTTGTATCACCTTCTTCTTCTTCTTCTTTAATATTCTTATATCACCTTCTTCTTCTTCTTTAATATTCACGATGACAATTCCTCTCGAAGGTTAATTTAACCAAACATCAATCCCTCATAAAAACAGAGGCTGCCTCTCAACGATGGTCAACCATTGGTGCTGTTCTGTCATCCATAGGAACATGGATTGCATTTGGATCCATGGCTTATCATCATTCAGACATTGAACATCGAATAGCTGAAGTTAAAATGAAGCGAAATGCTTTATTACAACAAAGAAATGAAGCGAAATTAAATGAAAATTTAAATGATATTGTAAATACAGTGAATAATGAATCAGATTGGATGAAAGATAAATTACAACCTCTACTTATACCCATGTTCTCAGGTTTGACTTTATTTTTGGGTTTTTATTTTTTAGGAAGAAGACAAGCCTTTAAAAAGAATTTAGCAATGATGATTAAGGAAAGGCACAAACAATTTCCAGACGATCCCTTATTGGCATCACTAGTTTCTTCATCCTCAAATTCAAATCGTACATACAAGCCTTTATCTGCGATTAAAATTAAATGAATAATTTTGAAAAACTTCTAATGTTCACATCGGAAGTGACCAAGTTGTTCAACCAGGATCGACGGACTGGATCAGATTGCTCCAGCGATTATTTTTGAACTTTCTATCAGTCAATCCAATCCTAAAATCCGATCTATTTAAATTTCCTCATTGAATTTGTGTGTATGATTCAACGTGAACATGAAAGTTTTCAAAGGTGAAAACAACGCATTAATTAACATTGTTGGGTTACACTATTGGGTTTTGATGTGTATTGACTGATAACCAACCGCAGCAGTAAATAAGATCCAACAGCATTAATGAACAAGAATAGCAGTAAACACTACTGATGTCCATTGATAGAAATGCTGTTGGATCTCCAAGAATGTTCTGGGAACATGAATAGCCCTCAGAGGCGGAAACATTTGACAGGCCTATTACAACGGAACCTAACGGTTTTTACAATGGACGTTTTTCAAATTTTAAATTTCTAGCCGTTTCACAATTAAAATTTTGAAAAATACCATCGAAAAAAATTGGCTGAAACTGACCCTTGCCCATTTTTTCATTGATTACAAGCTTTGAAGCTCCTCTTCTCCAAAGGCTAATACCTGATATCGGTTATTGGAGCAAGCAGTCTACGAATATCTCTATCAACTATAGTCCTAACCAACATAACATCCCGTATTAAATCCATTCAAAACATCTTCATCGGTACATTCATCAATAATCACATAAAAAGAATATCAATGTTCAACTATCAACATCCCAGTATTGTTCCTTCATCTCAAAGGAATTTACCTGTTGATGAGAACGCTGGTATTGGGCCAACAGCCACTACCATCATGAACAAGCCTATCACCACGAACATCCAACCAATCAAACTTTCAAAGCCATATATCTCCAGCGTTTCTTCAAACACCCAACCACAAGGTACGACACAAAGAACATGTTTAGGTGATATCTCTAATCAAGTCCACCATCTGCAGCAAAAGTCTGTTTTGTCTGTCGCTTCAAAACCACAAGTGATCAAACCCAATTTACCTTCATCAAGTGTGCTGCCACCTAATAGCTCAAACAACAGTGTGCCAATCTCTTTAAGCAGTACCACGACCAGCACGACCACGACCACTCGGTTATTGTCCAAACCACATCGACTTGCTTCCAACAATGACCATGCCGCCTACCTCTCTTCCTCCTCTTCTGCAATCACAAACAGCATCCCCACCAACACCACTTTAACCACTCTCAATGACAAGGACAACTCTTCATCCCTTCTTATTCCTTCTTCCCTACAGGATCCTCCCACTCTCTCTTCACCTCCACCAAAGAAACCTGCACAACGTTTACTGAACTCTCCTAAAATTGATGAAAATGACTCTTCCGATCCTCAATCCTGCACTGAATACATTAAAGAAATTATGAGTCATTACAAGGCTATTGAACGAAAATATCTTGCAGACTGTAATTACATGTCAAGACAAAACGATTTACATCCCAACATGAGAGCTATTCTTGTGGACTGGTTGATTGACGTTCATTACAAATTCAAGTTGGTTCCTGAAACGCTCTACTTGACCGTGAATTTGATTGATCGATTCTTGAGCGAACGAACAATCTCTAGACAACGACTTCAACTCGTGGGTATCACTGCCATGTTCATTGCCTCCAAATATGAGGAAATTATAAGCCCTATTGTTGCTGACTTTGTAAAAATCACCAAAGATGCCTACACAAGAGAAGAAGTCTTGAAAATGGAAAGAATCATGTTGCAAGTGTTGGACTTTAACTTGACAATAGCTTCTCCCAATGTTTTTCTGAAACGATATTTGAAATGTGGTCGTTGTACCGAGCTGCAAACGTATATTGCTATTTATTTGAGTGAACTATCATTGATGGACTATGCCCAACTTGAATTTACTCCTTCGACGGTTGCTTGTGCAGCTGTGTATTTATCCAAACATTTAACACAAGATTTCGAAAAGTGGGATTCAACAATGGAACACTACACGGACAAGACTGAAGAAGACATTTTGCCTTGTGCTAAGGCAATGCTTCGATATCTGAAAAAGATATCCTCTCAACGAAGAGATGCCAACAACAAGCCACTCGTTGCTGCTGTGAATAAGTACAAGAAGGAAGATCGATTATCTGCCTCTAGAGTTTGTGCAAAAATGGCTGACACTGTTAATTTGTAAAATCCTTTCACTCCCCAAATCACTCTTTTGAAAAATTGCGCTTTTAATTAAGCTTAATTTATAATATACAACAACAAGAACAACAATAAACACTTGAAGTATAAATGCTGAACGAAAATTAGATCATGCTGCCTGTCACTTGGATGCACTTGACTTGGCCACCTAGTGTTCCAATAAATACATGAGACTTGCCATAACAACAA